TAAATGTAATATTTGTTCAATTGCTTAGAAGTGTTACAAATGCTGAAATTATCAAGTCTTTTATTTTTTTATTTTTTGAAAAATACATGATTTCCTGTATTTTATTTTGAAACCAAATACTGTCTATTTCAAAATAGTTACAACTGATTAAAAGAAACCGAGATAACCTAATTTTTAGCAATGCAAGATACAATATTTTAAATTTTCAAGAAAATACTGAAATAAAATATACTTTATAAAGTTTTATTGTTTTGTTACACAAGTCATTAATTTTATTATATATTTATTCACAAATTATGTAAATCACACAAGATGTAGCAATTCTATGATGTTTTGAATAAATAATTAAATAATATATTAAATACCATGATTAGCTATGCTCAATCCTTCATTAAATCCACCACTTTAAGACTCACAAAGATTGCCAAATCCATTATTTTAAAATATGTTTTTATAAAAAGATAACATAATTATATGATACTATAAACATCCTGCTACAACTTAGAAATTACAATTCTGTGAAAAAATTCTAATTTGTAAATAACTAAAGATTGTACAAATACTACAAAATGTTACTTCTTAAAAAGAATATATCTAGACATGAAAATTAAATGCACTATACTATTTTGAGAATAATATTTAGACTATAACTTTAGGATAATAATTTTAAATTTGAAAATTAAACACCAAGCACGTCACAACATTTGTATATCAATGGGTCATCCAAAACTGGGTTTGATTTTTTGAAAAATAAAATAATAATGTCATAAAATTAATGATCATATGATTCACTGGTGGAAAATATAACTCTCTCTCTCTCTCTCTCTCTCTCTCTCTCTATATATATATATATATATATATATATATGTTAAAATATGACACCAGCAACCAAAAAAATAATTTAGTATTTTTTAAAAATTTAGTCTGCTTCTTTCAAGAAATCCCAAAATTTGCAAAATTAGATTGTTGATAATTTCGAAATTCCAATCATGGTTATATTCTTGATTGATTTCTTCTCGAATTATGAAGAGTCTAAATCTTAACATAAAAGCTTTTATTTCAAGGTATAAACAAATCAAATTTCAACACTTAATATATAACAATGATCACTAACACATACCAAAATGAACCCCATAATTGGCTCATGCACTTCAGAATTTATCAGAATTTCAATATGAGAAAATCAATGTATATATATAATTTTGGTTAATTTAAAAAAAAATTAATTGAAATTTGTCTAAGGAAATACTTAATCACCAAAAAATAACATTAAGTAACCGAAAATTAAATTAAAACTTTAATATTTATTAAAATTTATTTGTTGTAAAATATTTTAGTCTCTAGAGTTGAAACATATCATAGTCAAATATTAATTATTTAATTCTAAAGGATTTGTAATTAAATAAATCAGAATTCTAAAATATAAGTTTATTTTCCTATATATATATATATATATTTATTTATTTATACACAATGAATTTCATATTGAAAAATTTTAAATTTATAGTTTGAATTAAAAAAAACACCTTGTAAGTTCAAAGTATTTGCAAGCTGTTATAAAATATTTTTAAAATATTAAAAGACCAGTTCAATTTTAATCAGAAAATAAATAAATAAATATTTCTTTATTTTTTATATTTTTAGTTATGAAAAATTTATAAATTTATTTATGAAGGGTGGTTATCTTTTTTTTTTTTTTTTTTTTTTTTTTTTCTTTTTCTTTTTTATCAATGCATAAGAATGTGTTCAAAAATAGTGGCTAAAGGTTGTCATTAAATCCAAAGGTAGATTGTAGATATTCGAAATTGAAAAAAATTAGTATATTTTTTATTCTTAAAGAAACTTTGTCAAAAAAATGAAATATTAAAAAAAACCAACAAAATTGCAAGTTGCTGTTTGTTTACAACAATGTTAATATGACAATTTCTGTAATAATAAGTTCATTATTTTGTCTTTTCTTCTTATTAGAATCATTCTCATGAATTCTTTATTTGTATTAATTGTATATTGTTTGAACTCTTTTTATTGTTTTAGGTTAAGGTTAATATTCTGCATGCTTATAATTCACATTCCACATCTTTTATTAGTTAAACATGCATATTTGTCACTTCTATTGATATTTTTAAAATTATTTTGATATTTTTTAAATTTTTCTTGGTCTTCAAATAAATTTCACGAGAAAAAATTGTCTTAGAATAGACACACATTAAATTGTAATTTTTTTTTCTTGATATAAAGATTAATCTTTAATTTTTACAATTTAATATTTTACAACAGTTTTTTTAATACATCCTACATTAACAATGCCATTTCATGTTTTATGGTAAATTTACTTGTGAGCATTTCTTGAAAATAATATTTAAATTTGTGTATAAATAAAACAACATAATTAATAACAAAATTCTCTTATTTTTTGTTTAAAAAGGAATTAACAAAAAATTAAGTATATATTAATACTTAAATCAATGTGCGTTACATAATTTTTTTATGTCTACGTATACATATAAATCTGTCACATTTTTTTCAATGTTGACAAATTATTTTCCATCAAATATATATACACACACACACAAATACATACATATATATATATATATATATATATATATATTAGCATTAGAGTCCCTTGCTTTATATTGGGAGTAATATGTTAAAGCAACTGAGTTCTAAATGCTTATTGATAAGGATAAAAATTAATTTCTATTACAATCGTGTTCTTCAAATAGTATTAAAATAAAAAAAAATAATGCCATGTATCTATTTCAAAATGGACAAAACAAACTTTAATTAAAACCCATAGAAATGTGGCCATTGGTATCACCCTTGAATGTTAAGTTCTTTCTTTCTTTCTTTATTTCTCCCCCTCCCCTTTTTTTTTTTACCTTTTATTTTTATTGGGACATTTAAATGAATAAAAAATTATCCTTTACTTTGGATGAATTTATAAATGAATAACTACATGTGTAAATGATTGACACAATTTAAATGAGTGCACAAATGTGCAAATTCCACTATATTTAAAATATAAAATATATGTTTCTTATTGTTTTGATTACCAGTTGATATTAATTCTTCATAATATGATATTCATATTAAATGCCTCCTATTATCCTTTTGAGATCCTCATGATTAGTGTCATAAAACTATTGTTATTATTATGTAATTCTAGTTGTCTAATAAAATCATATAGAACTTGAAGAAGCTTCATATTGACTGATTTATTAATGAACTTGTTTGTTAGTTGAATCATTGTTTACTTTAACAATGTGTATAAAGAGCAAGTGACACTCAAACCACAAGTTAGGAAAACATTGATTGCAAAACTGAAAAATGGAATGGGACAATGAGAATGGTTGGAAAAGCTAAAGGAAGATGATAACAGATTGCAAAGAACGAGGCAAGTGCAAAGCGGAGCAGAGCAAAGAGAAGACAAGAGGGCATGGATTGATTGTATGGTAATCCATCCATGCTGCGCATACACTCTCTCATACTCACACACACAGAGGAGAGACGAAGATAGTGAAAGAGAGAGGAGGTTCCATCCAAAGTGGACCTTCCGTCCATCATCCATACATTCCTCCACATAGCTTCCGCCCTCCTGAAGAGCACAATGGGATGCTTCTGATGCTGTGGTGGTGATGGACCTTGCTTGCTTTGGGAAGGGGGGGGTGACGACGCCAGCCAGCCCTAATACAACAACAGTCCGCAGCCATTGACGACGACGACGACGCGTCAGACTTACTTCCGGATGCGCCGGGGTCACCTTTCTCCCTTCCCTTGGTGCGTCGATGGATGGATGACTTGATCATTGAATAGACGATGTTAGTATAATCGAGACGTACGATCCTACGATGAACGATGACTTGCCAGTGCAGCGCCAGCCTGCACAGCCAGCCCAGCCAGCCCTGCCAGAACGGTAGTATCGCTCTCTCACTCATCATTCCGCTCCTGCGGTAACCGTTAATGAATGCATGATGTCGAAGCTTTTCTGTCGCCAGCTCAGCCCCCTGTCCCGCCCTTTTCTACGCGTTTTTGGAGTGGCCGAGGGGATCGTTGGATGCCAAGTCGGATCCCCCACTCCCATCTTCCAAAACGGTCGGATGAGATTGACAATGGATGACGTGGAGAAACTATTAAACGGCGTGCTCGAACACTGCACAGGATTGATCACGGCTACCTATTCACTTGACTTCTTTCAGAAAGCACGGTTTCTCCCTGCTTTAGGTTCATGTCATCTTGCCTGCCTCTGCTTAAGCTCATCAGTCCTTTCTATTAATGCTACTGTCATGGCATAAATTTTATATCCATGGAATTTTTTTTAACACTTAATAAATGCTTACAAAACTTGGCTGCTGTTGTATATGAACGGTAATCTTCTCTTTACCCTAAGAATAGATAATTTCGCCAACAAACAACTGAGGAAGAATCTCCTTGTGCTTCTTGCCAAGGTGTAACCAAATAATTCCGAGGACAAATTCTTAATAGTTTTTGTTGCAAGTCCCAGTTTAGTTTGATTTCGAGTTTTTTTGACGAAATGTTTGATTTCACATCCTCCTGCTGTTCTAAAGTTTTCTTCTATTTTCTGTTCTTTGCAATGTTTCCACAAAGGCTATGTGCTTACAGTCAAGAAATCATTATTGATGAATCCAACACTTATGTATACAGCATATAACAACATATAGTAGCGTCACCCAACAGTTGCTCGTAAATAAAATATTTATAAATAAAAAACAAAAGGCCCTCTCTGTGTCACTATGGTAGGAATGATCCAGCTCCTCTTCTTTCAGTTTTCTTTTGGTCCTGGGGGAGGGGATTCCCGAGAAGTGCACCACGATGACAAGGTGAACGAAAGCGGGTCATTCAGACCAAGTGCGATGCCAGCCAAGCCCCTCGCCCCTCCTCCGCTTCCACGAAGCTCGCCTTGATAGGGGCTCCATGTCGCGGTCTTAGGGCGCCACCGATACTGGGGGAGACTTTAAACCTCTACGCGGGAGTATATTGTGAAAGGCCATTGGGGAAAGCGTCGGGGTTACTCGGGATCCTTAATACGAGTTAGTCGCGCAGCGGGTTTCATCATCGTGCAGGAGCGCTCACAGCGGGGATTGCTCCTCCACCCCTTCCCAATTTTACCCTCTCTCTTGCTCGCGATCCCTCACATTCTTGTCTTTCAGGCGCTCTAGTGCTTTTGCGCCACAGCAGGCTGACTGCCTGCCTCGACAGACAGGGTAGCTGTCAGACAGGGCTGCTTCTCCCTCCTCCTCGGCTACCGTCGAGCGGTCTGGGAGTTGCGTCCATCAGCTTCCGTTTAGAAAGAGCACTTGTCGCCGCGCTTCTCTCCAAAACTGCGATCAATCGCCGCCACGGGAGAGGCACCGTGTTTGTTCCTTTGTTGGCGCATACTTCGTCCCCGGCAACAGGTGCCCTGTCGTCAGGGTGGTTCATCCGTTGTCCTCAGAGGCACTCTCCTTTCCCTCAAACCTCCCATGTTATTTGTCCCCGACTTCAGTAACTGATCGTTGAGACGTATTGGAAGTTTTTCTTTGATACACTGTTTACCGCACTGTATTTTGAGTACCCAGATCGTCCACGCAACTCCGAAGACCCAGAACTCGTTACGGAGTGCTGGCTGGAACCAGTCTTGAAGACTTTTCAGTTAACGTGTTGCATGGTTGGGCATTTCTTGGAGGGTACTGATGTGGTACATGTGACTCTAGGTCCTTCTCCTCTCTTTTGTCTCCCGGTTGATTAATTATATCGGACGAAACACTCATTGGCCAACTTTGCATTGCGTGAAGGCGGTTAACAGGCGCGAATTGATCGCGCTCATATTCGGACCAAAACCTCCTTGGCCATTTTGCTTCGTAACTTGCAGGTTTTGAGGGATATGACGCTACATAGCAGAAATGTTATCTTTTGTTTCGTTAGTGGTCGTGTAGCTCACGGCGTTTAACAGTACCACAATTCTGCATCGTTGAATGAGCCTGTCGCGAAGACGCTAACTGGAATTGCACTGAACTTTCGTTAAGATACTCTCATATTTCGCACTCAGTAGGTTTAGGAATCGATTATATTTTGATTTTGACCAAGGTAATGACGATTTGATAAAGTTCTGTAGGTACGTGACCGTTTCAAATACGATACTTTTCCGTTACAAGGCAGGTGTCAGATTGCTACCTCGTAGTGACTATCTGTCTGTCCAGTGGGAACGTTCTTGAAATTTCACTGCTATGAAGACACCCAGCATAATTCAGAGGTCGTTGTGTTCGGCGAAAGGGCGGCGATTGCAGAGGTCTATCAACAATATGAAAATCACAGTTTTGTGCGGTCTTATGACCATCTTGGTTCTCCGCGGAACTATAGGTGCAGGCAATTTTGGAACTCCGGCCCAGGATTTCGAAGAAATAAAGGCACACCTTAGGTCTGCAACGCGGGAGTATCACGCTGCCCGTGTTCTCACTCAGGTTGATGAGAAAGTATCAGCTGATGGGGCTTCCTCTGATGACATCGAGGAGGTTAGGAGCAACCTCATGACACCATATCGCCTTGGACCTAAAATAAGCGACTGGGATGACCAGAGAAAGCAGTGGTTATCTGAGAATAGTCAGACCAGTATTTCTTGGCAAGGGAGGCCTCGGGTGCTGCTTGTGACGGGCTCTCAACCTTCAAGCTGTGAGAATTCTGAAGGTGATAATTTTTTGCTCAAGTCTGTGAAGAACAAACTTGACTACGCACGGCTACACGACATTGAATTGTTTTACAATATGGCGCACTTGGATCAAGAAATGATAGGGTTTTGGGCGAAGCTTCCGCTACTGCGCAAGTTAATGTTGACGAACCCGGCTGTGGAGTGGATATGGTGGATGGATAGCGATGCATTGTTCACGGATATGTCCTTCGAAGTGCCTCTGGAAAAGTACGAGAACTACAATCTGGTATTGCACGGATTTGACGACAAAGTGTACCAGCAGAAGCTATGGACTGGCTTGAACACTGGGAGCTTCTTTATTCGCAACTGTCAATGGGCTTTGGACTTATTGGACGCTTGGGCGCCTATGGGACCGAAAGGAGTGATCAGGAATCAAGCAGGTATGATTCCCACTCTCTTGAACTTCGTGCGTCTGTTGATCGTCCCAATTGAATGGACGTCTTCAATCTCTGTTGCCCGTTGCAGCCGTTTGGACATTTAACTGGGTTGAATAGCATGAAATGAGACCAACCTCGTGCCTCAATTTACAGGTGAAATGTTGTCCAAGAGCCTGACGGGAAGGGCTAATTTTGAAGCGGACGATCAATCTGCTCTGGTGTATCTTCTTATTACCCAAAGGCTGGAGTGGGCGAACAAGGTTATGCTGGAGAAATCGTTCTATCTGCATGGATACTGGGTGGACTTGGTTGGTAAATACGAGGAAAATATGGCGAAGAGCCACCCTGGATTCGGAGATGACAGGTGGCCATTTATTACTCACTTTGTTGGGTGCAAACCTTGCCTAAAGAACGGAGGTGACTACTCTGTGGATACATGCTTCAAGCAGATGGAAAGGGCGTTCACATTCGCTGACAACCAGATCCTGGATGTTCTTGGTTTTCGGCACAGAAAGTTGGGGTCGCCCAGAATTGTCCGTGTAAGAGATGACAGTTCGCATCCATTGAAACTGGAAGGGAAGAGTCTTGACAGGTTACCCTCAGTTGTGTAGTCTAAGTGCGTTGATGAGGTAGTGAACATGTTATAGGGAAGAGCTGCACGTCTCTTCAAATTTTTACGGCGATAACTGCGTGATGGTCCGTGTTCTTAGAAGCAATCTATTTCTTCAACTTTTAACGGGAGATGGCAGATGCAAGAGAGGCCAGTGCCATTGTCTGGGTTCCTCTCTTCGTATCTACTTTATTCTCACATGTATCATAGAGACAGTTGCGTCCATCCTATTCTTTTAGAATCAGTGATGATCGAACTCACCTCCAGGATTTCACTTATTCCTATTCATTGTAATCATTCTTAAACCGCTCACCAATAGAAATTTTGATTTGACCTCCTATTGCATATCTGATGGCAGCTTAGAATTGTTACTGAATTTTTGAAAGGAACTTCATTTGGTTGAAGTTTTGCATTTACTGCATCCTGGATCTTCAGGACTATCACTACTATCATCACCTACATTTTGGTAAAGAATTATCAATGCTTTTGTTCGTATGTAGTACGCAAGAACTTAGTGAACGTGAACTATACTGTCCTGTGAAAATAGGGATCAGTCGACAGTGAAAGTGTTGACAGGGAAAAGTAGAACTGAATGTTCATATGTATCCATTTGGTAGTCACCATGATACAAACTTTCAAGTAAGAAATTTTTACACCCAAACAGTCTTCTCAGAACTGCACAACCAATGTTACCGCGTTGGTTGATATGGGTGTAAAATCTGCATTACGTTTAAACTTGAAAAATTAATGCTATTTTCCAGAAAGGAAGTATTGTCATTAATTGTATTGTATCTATTAGATTATCAGGCATTGTGTTAATTCTTGAGAGGTTGTTAATACAATATCGGAAGTTAAGTGGTTATCATATTGCTGTTGTTTAGAAGTCAATTTATCAATTGGAATTAATGTATTTTATTATTCAATTGGTTTGTCACAAAATAAATGTGATGTGTCGAGAAAACTACCAAAGAAGATCCATTTGATTTAATATTGCAACTTTGAAAGTTGAGAATGCAAAAAAGTTAGGAATACTTAATCAAGTTTTATTGGCCGTTTGGTGATTTAGTTTCTTCTAAATTTAAATTAAGTTGTTTACAGTCAATAATTAAAAAAACCACATACAAAGTAGAATGAAGATTATTTTATTTACTCTATACTACTAATAATTGATCCCATTTAAGTTAAGTTTAGACCAATTAATATGATCTAAAATAAGTCCATGTGTTGTTAAATTAATTTTATTAGAACATATTAAGCTATTATCTTAATTGTCTTATTTAGAAGTTTGCTTCTTTGTGTTCAAACTTTGTAAGAAATTGGCTAAACCAAGTTGGTGAGAATTAACTAATTCTTTAATTATTAATTGCATAACCTGGCTAATACACAAGTCTTATATTGTTTACAATAGTATTTATAGTTGTATATGAAAGTTATCAAGATTTGAAATCTTTATTTGAATTAAGATGATACAAAATGCTTCTTTTACCATATATGCATTAAATTTCTTTTAAAATATTGTTTTTCTTGCATCTTATGACATAAACTATCATTTGTATTTGTAATATTTGTAGTTTGATTTTTTTAACAAAGTCAAGTTTTTTATAACATTAATTTGCTTGAATGCATTCAGTGTAAGAATTTTAATTTTTTTGAAGTAATTTAAATATTTAAAATATTTTTGATAATATTGATATTTTAAAAAGCAAAATTATTAAATACAACATTATTTATTCATTTATTTATTTATTTATTTTTTAATTTTTTAAATTTTTTTTCAAGGTTACTTTATACCATGTAAAATATATCTATAAGGCTAATATAAATTTCTTATTCTGATTGAGTTAAGGATTATAATTATTTTAAAAAATACTAATAGTAACTTATTTTTTTTAAATTAATAGAATTAATAGAATTAAATTAAATCTAAAATTATATAATTTCAAATTTTTTATTTATGTAGCCAATAAGGATCTTTGAATGCCTATAATATGCAATAATGTCTTTCTACAAAACATTAGCTACATTCTTTATATTATTAATTTTTATTCCTATAACTTTTAGTCATTTAATAAGAAACTTGATATGAAATTTATATAATTTATTCTATTGGAAAATAAAGAATAAATTTTTATAACACAATATATATTTTTTGAATAATATCTCTCTCTCTCTCTCTCTCTCTCTATATATATATATATATATATATATATATATATATATATAATTTTGGTGTAATATATTTTTAGTTTAATTTTTTCATATGTAAAATAAATTATATATTGTTGAAGAAGCCTATAAAAAATATATTTATATAATATGTTGTCATCTATTAAATAAATATGTGATATGTTGGATTTAATTCATTAATTTATTCTATATATCTAATTTATTTTTTTATTTTCTTGTTATAAAATATGTATTTTTGATGAATTATCTATCTGGTACTTTTCTTATTTATGATTTCTTTATTATTAGGGTTTAATGACCATTTTAAAAAATGATACTGGTTGCAAGAAAAATTATAATACTTTAATGCTTAAGATTATATTTTTTTAAAAGATTAATAAAAAAGAATTCTATTGATGGTTTTTTTAAATATAAAATATATTCTTTTTATTTTAATTTTATATTTATAAAATAAATTAAATAATAATTTCTAATATCATTATTTTATTTTAAAAAAAATACTTTCAACCATAACAATCATATCATGACAATAAATGTAAAAAGAATCTATTTTGATTTTAAATTTTTGATACAAGGTAGAAATATAAGGTTATTTTTTAAGACACCAAAAATTTCTTATTATATTTTATAATCAACTTTCATTGTTCTTAAATTTACTTACATATGTAATTTATGAATAATATTTTTTAACTTCTTTACTCTATCTTATATGATCTATATTCTTCTTTAATCTTATAACATTTGAAGATGGTTATAGATTAATATTTACTTCTAAGTTTTGTACATTTATTTTTTGACTTTATTTTAAAATCAAATTTTTATATAAAGTTAATATTTTTGCAATCAAGTCAATTAAGAATCTTCATTTAATAAATTTTAATACTTATCTTAAAATTTAATCCTATAAAAGCATATAAATCTTCAATTATAATGATCATCTTAGAATTCTTGCAATATTAATATATTATTGTAGAATTTAATCTTTTAAAAAATTTATAAAAATATATTAAATCCATGAAAATATATAATTTTAATATATTATAAAATTTCTTATATTGATGTTGGAAGTCAATAAAATAAAATTTATATATATATATATATATATATATATATATATATAGAAAAAATTATTTACATCAAAAATTATAATTATATAGTAACAAATTATTTAATTTTATTTCAATCTTATAATTATTTAAATACGAACCATAAAGCAATAAGAAAATATTAAATAAGAGATTATCTTATCTATATATAATTTCAATTACAACCGTTTTTCTATGGATATCCATATTTATTTTAATAATTATTTGTAATAATAAATTTCTCTCTCAACTCAAGTTACAAGATGGCCTCAATTAAGAGTTGCTTATAATGGGTGGTGTGAAATGAAGATGCAATAAATAAGAACAAAAGAAAGAATAATTCATAACAAATGAAATAAGTGCAATCAAACAATTATATATAATAAAAGTAGTCTATAGTCTATTCACTGAGTTTTCATCTAGAAAAATATAAAAATAATTTTAGATAGATAATTTTATTATCTTTCTAACGACATAAGAAACATGTAAATCCAAATTACTATGAATAAGTTATGAAAGTTTAAAGATAAAAAGTGAATAATTAAAAAATTAAGAAAAAATATTTTATCTCAAAGATAACTTGGTTGTGGATCAAGGATTCAAGTCTCACCAAGGCTCACATGTAGTGTATATCCGGCGTTAAGAAAGACCTTACTCTTATCCTCCTAACTCTATTCAAGGTGCTACAACCCATATGTTACTTGTATACCTCCCTTTCTTTAAGGACTAAACTAGCTCCAAGTCCTCCTATTTCTTACTAGTAAAATCCAAAATTTTATGTTTTTGACTTCATCATAGTATAAAAAATGACTTGTATGGTCTTTAAATTTTGTTCCATTTTTTCATAATGGCTCTCAAGGTGATAAAACTCAATTTTACCAAAGTCTTGAAATCTTCTTTAAAAATTCCTAAATAATTCTAAATAAACTCTAAATAAATTCTAAAAACTACTATAATATTTATATAATTCTAACATCCATTTGAAGCTATATTTTTCTATTTTTTTTTTATAGTAATAAAATCAATTTAAATCTACTAAAAATCTTCTTTTTTTATATAATTAACTAAAAAGATATGAAGTTCTTTTTTATACTTCTTCTAATTACTAATCAATTATTGATAGGATTTTTATAAATAATACATATAGATGAGAGGCTAGTGAAGATATTAATCTTAATAACTAATTTTTAATACTTAATAATTAATAAAAATACTAATTTAATTAAGATAATTATAATTAAGATTTATTAAAATTATATTTTTATAAATTCTCTTTTAATAAGATTTTTTTAACTCATAAATACTTAAATAGTTAAAAAGAATTTTTAATCTTAATACTTATATAATTAAATGACTTAAAACTATGTTTTTAATCAATCTATCAATTAAGATGCATTGGTGGAACTCACATTATTTAAACAATATAAATATATAGAAGTAGATAATAATAAATAAAATTTATAACATCTTGTAAAGAAGCATCTTGTAAGCTTCATAAATTGGCTTTGTCTATATATATGTCAATAAGTGATTTGTAGGTTGAAAATTTGGCCAATAAGTTGGCCATGTATTGTACATGCTAGCCACTTGTGATATGAGTTGGACATATGGTGTACACATAAGAAACTTGTCTTGTAAGTTTGATACATATCTTGCAAGTTGAACATATGTTGGAGGTTTTAGAGAATGTCGCCATGTAGCTCTTAGTTAGATAGTATATATAGATGTAAGAGTGAAGCCTTTATTATTCTTGTTAACTCCTTTCTTGCTTCTGGTTTAGTTTTAAGTCCTTTTTTTTTTGTTTTTGAGAAATAGCCATTTTATTTATTTTTTGAATATATATATATTTTCATCTTTCTTTGAAAAATATCTTACTTAATTATTTAATTTTTAAAAATTCTAATACTTAAAAAATTGATAAGACTATACTCATAATATTAGAATTTTATTTTTTATTAATTAAGAGTAGATTATCTCTTTTTTTTAATAAGACATAAGCATATTAGAAGTTTTGGAATATCTACTTTTAAACTAATATTGTTTTAAATTTTTTCTTTGTTCTTTAGTTATTTC